TCTAGTGGGGCATCGCCCTACACTTCGACTGCCACTTGAGAACCTTTTTTTCCATCGGTTGTCGGTTCTGTGAGCTATATGGCCGGCCATTTGCCACTTCAGCTTACCTACTACGTTGGGCTATGTCGGTCACTCTGATTCATCTGCGGATATCCTCATTCCTGAGTTTATCACGCTGAGACACTCCGAGCATAGCCCTCTCCATAGCTCGCTGAGCGAACATTGAGCTTCCTCATACGGCCGGCAGTGGAGGACCTCGTCGCAGAGCCATAGGTCATCACTGGTTATACACGCACTGGTTATACAATCTAGCTTTAAAGTAAGCCAGACAAGAAGATGTGTCGTAATCTCCCGAGCGCAGCCCACCCGAGTTGAATCAGTCGATTGACCGTCGAAGTTGGACTTCCAAGTCGGACTACTTGTCCCAGGGTAAACATACTACTCATCAACAACTTCGAGCTTAGTGCTCCCAACAACACTGGCATTTTAAATTTAGAAGAGTTCCACTGTCGAATTGGGAATGATGATATATTTGTTGAAGTTTAATGATATATAACTTTGAAATAAATCTGTTGGTACGGTACGCGCGCCACCTACTGTAAATTAATTGTACTATGCCTCTAACCTTCGTGCAAGTGCAAGCAATAGAAACAGAAACAGAAACTTTTTTATTCAATGTAGATTATAAACAATACTTATTGAAAGTCAATTTTTTTTATTCAAATAATAGCTTACAATCATGTTTACAATTAACAACACAAGACAAATTACAAATAGCTTGGTGGCGATCACCCTTCCCAGGGGTTATTATCCATAAATTCCATAATATTATAATAACCCTTTTTATACAAACTTAGTTTAATAGCATTTTTGAACTTTTCGTATGACTAATTTTGCATATTTTCTGGGATTTTGTTGTAAAAGCGTATACATCGCCCCAAGAATGAATTACTGGGTGCGTTTGGCAGAAAAAAGCGCTAGCAAGCGCTTACAAGCGCTGAAATAGTTTTCGGCCAGGACACGATTACTAGTTCAGTAGCGCTGACACAATCCGCCATTTTGCTTATTTAATTTGTTTGTTTTGAAGTTGAGTTTTTAAGTTGTTTTGTGCAATATTAGTTTTAAGTAATATAATAACGTGAATAAACATATACATGTTATTAAAAATTCATGATTGGTAAGTTTTTAATATGAATACTTTACAAACATATATTTAAATTAGGTTAGGTTCCCCGGTTAAAACTAACATCGTGTCCTGGAGGAAAATAGCTACTTACGAGTTGACAGCGCTTACCGCTTACGATCGCCATTTTGCTTACAAGCGCTTGCTAGCGCTTTTTTCTGCCAAACGCACCCACTGACTCGGTGGAGTCGAGTAACTAGTAGCAATATGTTGTCAAAGTTTTACCGCAATCTGACGAACGGTATGGCAGCGCATCAAATACGAACAAACGAACTAATAATAGTTTTATCAATATTTAACTGATCACAGTTTTATTTTTATAGAATATATGTTTGTTATTTTTTGTAACATTACGGACACATTCTTAACGCAAGGACAACTCGTCGGGAAATATCATTGTCATCGTTGGAAAATGTTTGAGCACTTTTTTCACACGTTTTTTTATGTTTACACAAAAGATCGTGATGAAGTTACGTAGTAATAATATTATATATTCTTTGCTCAAGTGATCAGGGTCAACAGGGTATGTTTTTTTTTTAATTACAGTAATCCGTACATAGTTAACTTTGTGTGGGCAGTGATCAAAGGCTCTTGGCTCGCTTACGCTTAGGATTTTAAAACTAGCTTTTAGTTTTAATCTCGGCGTTAACTGGAGCTGGTAGCGGGTTTATTTATTTACTAGCAACCTGGTTTCTAGGTGGTATCTGAAAATATCATTTATTTAATTTTTTTTATTAAAAATGGGTTCACTTCAACTTCATCTGGCCCGAGGGCAAAGATGAGGTCTACGATGGAGCGAGTTTGCCCAGGAGAGAAAAATTTGAACATAATGATGATGATGACACCTTGAAGAGGTTAAGGTTCTCTCTCTCTCTCTCTCTCTCTCTATCTCTCTTTTTGTCTCTCAAGTTACTCAAGTTCTTTGGTTAATAGCCTACACAAAGTCTAGATCACTCCTCGCATTGCTCTCTATTAGGAATGGTTATCGATATCTACTGATATGAAGTAATTCCCTGAGCCATATATATATATATATATATATTTATAACTTATATTATGTGTATGACTTTTTAAAACCAATAAAAAAGGTATAAACAAACGGCGGACTTAATTCCTATTAGCATTATTTTACAGTCAATCCGGAGCAGGCTGCAAAACTTTAGCACGGTAATATTATCTATACAGTATTGTAACTCGTCCGTATCTTTGAAATAAATGCCTACAGTCACGCGGTACGTAAACATGCGATAGGGCTGCCTGCCTCCAGCATTTTTACATTTGCCTACTTTGTGTTTCCATTTAGTTTTATGATTGTAAATATACTTTCTTATATAAACAAATATAATAGATACTTTGTGAATTGAATAGGAAGTGTTCAATAAAAATGCGTGTCGTTTTTTATCGGTAGATTTAATTAAAAAATCATGTTTATGTTTGAATAACAATAAAAATGCGTGTCTCGGTCTTATACATTTGCAACCGAAAAATATCTGCGCCTCGGCTGAGACGTACGAAATTCTTTATTATTAAAATTTTAAGTATATAAGTCCGCATTCTAATATAAAGCTTAATTAAAAATTGTTTTGTGAAACATGGGCAAGGTGGAGAAAAGGAATATTTTTACTTGGTTAGAGATCCCTGCAGCTATTTTACAATTTGTATGTTCAGTTTTAAATGAAGGTCGGATTTATTATTTCTTTATTTCTATTATATTATTTATTTCCTCCATTTTTTATATATATTCCACAAAATCATAACTGCGGCAGTCTCGACTGTCTGCATGCCGAGCGCATGCCGAGATCGAGGCGCGTAGGCATAGCTCTCGCTTCATCCGTTTGTATGGACTTGGAATACTGTATAGATAAAATTACCGTGACTTTAGTGTGACATTTATTTGTGATGTGTGTGATATTAGCGACGCATAATTACATCAGAAATTCAAATGATTAATGATTTTCTTTTTTTCTTATAAAGTGTAAACGAAAACTGTTTTGTTTCTTGGGAAATAATCTAGCAAGTATAAAATTTTACAATAATAACATGAAGTACGATTTGTAGGATTCGATTCGTAAAATGGATTCCTAAGTGATGTACTACGTCATACGTTACTACGCCACAATTTCAACACGTGTGACGGTGACGTCGTATCTTTGACCCAAACAAAACTCGGCCGACTAGGGTTGCCACTCGTACTATAATATATAGTATCGTACTATATTCCAGCAATTGTATTATATATTTTAATAGAAAAATAATATATATAATAGTACGAAAATACTATGTTTTTATCCCTTAAATCAACGCGCCAACGTCGCGCTTTTTTATACTGTGATTGTAATTCTGGAACAAGTAAGTTTTACGGAAAGAATTTTTCTATCATGAGTGTAAAATGGATAGAAGAAAGAAGCAGAGCATGTATATTAATATAATTTAAAGTTAATCTATTTTAATTTAAACCTAAATTGCTAAGATTACCATTATTATTTTAAAGGTAATTTATAAATAATTGATGGCCAAAGCGAAGACCAATTACAAATTTATATGCGAAAATACATAAAGTTTAAAAATATATGTGTACTTTTTTCTGAATCTGTCAAAAGTACTATTTTTGTTTTGGGAAAAATACTATATTTGTTCAAAAAAAAGGTGGAAAGTGGAAACCCTACGGCCGACACACTTGCACAATGCGAGCACGGTGATTCTCAGCGTTCGTAAAGCGGATAGAGAAATCTGTGGCAAAAAGTTGACCTTTAAATTTGGTAATTAGTCTTTTGTTTTTAAATAGGTCGATTCGCGTAAGTTACGTACTTGAAGTTGAGTCGACATAGTAATTTGAAAATATATGTATATTAGCATACGTTGTTCCCCGGCGGACGTTTGCACTTTCTGATAGATTACGTTGTGAGTTTAACTTAGAATTCAGTCCGGAGTTTTTACAGTGTAAATAAAATAATGCATTCCTGACTTTTTAGTGTAAACATAACTGAAGACGTACAATATCTAACACTGATTAAAAGAGGTGAGGAAATGTAAGATGCCGTTTCTTACCGTTCTTTTGGAGGGTAGACTTTGATACAGTGAATATGAACTACTGAACTGAGTCACTAGCGCAGTTGTAGCTGTGTTGCGGATAGCACAGTTTATGGGGGCGTCCATAAATTACGTGAGGTGTTTTTATTTTGATTTTCTGTGCCCCCCTCCAGCCTGGTGATATGTCGTGAGATTTAATTTAACCACCTCCCCCATCCCCCAATCTCACGTGAGATTTTTCAAAATGTGGGTTTTTTACGTAAACGCGTTGGATGGTTATTGTTAAAAGAAAAAAAAACATTAAACGTCCTATAACTCAAAAAGTGGACATTAGAAAAAAAGTTTCAAACAAAAGTTTTAGAAAATAAACTTATCTTTAAAAGTAGATTTATGCATTTTATTGATTAATCTAATATTTCAAAAGCTATTTGGCCGCAATAGAAAAACCGGTTCATTAACGCCCGAACCTAATATTCGATCTTAATCTATTTTTAGCTATCCAAGATTGATAATTCAATCCATTATATGGTTAGACAGTGCCAACAACCAATCCAGGGATTAAAATTACAATCTGTAGAAGTAAGCTATCCTCGGGAGGTCGGATTACAAAAAAAGATAGACCTCTGTGGGCGAATGACAATTTGTGTGTATCAATAACCTATCTGTCAATTTTGACGTTTAGTTCGATCGGTGTAAACAATCCAAATTCGCAATCCGAGAAAAGCCTAGGATTAATCCTTCGAGTTCCAACCGATTACGTATTTTGTTTTATTTTATTTGCGCGAAAATGGATTTAACATTACTATCTAGTGACAGTGACAGTGATTTGGAAATGCTAGCTCAGTTATCTGACTCAAGTGATGAAGATGAAATCCTACGCCGCCCTCCAAAGAGAATCAGAAGAGTGAACTATACGCAGTCTCGATGACGGTGATTTTACCTTTAGGTTTCGATGGAACAAACATGCGTTCAATTCTTTATTGTTAGAAATTACCCCATTATTACGAGTAACATCCACGAGGTAAAGCAAAGCTGGTCTATAGCAAATTAGATAATTTTTTACAATCTAAGTATATAATATACTTCATTTTATGTAATCCTTTGCAGAAATTACGGAGTATCACCATTGCATCAACTTTTGTTGACCCTACGGTTTTATGCACTAGGCACAATGTTGATATCCGTAGCAGATTTTGTTGGAGTTTCAAAATCTACAGCAGGTAGAATAGTGCGAGACACATCATCAGCAATTGCCCAATTAAATGATAAATATATTTATGTTCATCTTAGGAGTGCAGACAATTTCTATAGAATTGCTGGATTTCCTCGCGTGCTTGGGGCAATTGATGGCACACATATCCGCATACAGTCTCCATGTAAGCAACTATACTCAACTCTTCTTAAAATTTTGGCAAATATGAATAAACTATGAAGTTGCTAATAATAATGTTTATATATTTTAGGTCATTTTATAGGCGAAGAATACAGAAATCGGAAGGGTTACTTTTCTTTAAATGTTCAAGGTGTTTGTGATGCAGACTTAAAATTTATAAATGTTGTGGTTCGTTGGCCTGGTTTTACGCATGATGCAACTATATTTAATAACTCTATTCTGAGAGGTAGGTGTAAATAATATGTATTCAAATTGTAATAAATTTGAATATTCACTGTCAGAGCCTAATATTCTTTATTTTTATAACAGCTGAATGTGATGCAGGGCAATTCGGAAATCGCTGGGTACTTGGAGATAGTGCCTATCCAAACAGGCCATATTTATTAACACCTGTTCTGAATCCAGTTTCTGAAGCTGAACATAGGTACAATGAAGCACACATTAAAACTAGAAATACCATTGAACGGTATGTTAAATAAAACAGTATTATTAGATAAAATGTGTTATGGGAATACTGGTGTTTAATAAACAAATTGTTTGTATTACAGAGCATTTGGAGTATGGAAACGTAGGTTCCCCGTTGTAGCTCTTACACTACGTTTGTCAATACCAAATATGCAGGCAGTAATAATACGAGTAGCAACTACAGTCCTACATAATATTTGCAGAAATCACAATCTCACAGAAATCCCCTCTGAAGTAGAACTACCATCTATCGACAATAGTACAATGCTTCATAATGTAGTTGTTAATGATATTCCTACAAACCATATAACTGATTTGATAAATAATTATTTTATGACATTATAGAAACGTTGACACTCATTGGACAAATAACTCCCGTAATTAACATTACAGGTAAAAACAATTATGTAGAATAAGTTAGAAATTTTCAAATGTAAATATAAAACAAGTATTAAAAATTAATTTCTCTATTAAAAATACACATTAATTACTATACTATTGAGATATTTATAAAAAGGAACTTAAATTATAACAGCCTTCTACTACTTCTATACCACATATGTGAGTAATAGTACTTAATCTTTTTAAAATGTTGTTAAATTGAAATAAACTGTGAAGTTCCTATTAAGTGTTACTTTTCTTTATAAATTGTGAATTTAATTATATTTATTAATTTATTTAATTTTTATTATAGTAATTAATATATATTATAAAAATGTACATTAATTACTATAATATTGATAAATTTATATAAAAGAAGTCAAATAATTATAACTACCTTCTACGAGGGTGGATTGAAAAGTACTCGGCCTAACACAGATCCATTCAATTCTAAAAATCAAATCTACCCACATTATTTAGTTCAGTTCAGACTAGTTCATTGTGTGAAGTTCGAAACGTGTGCGATAATTAGTTATGATTTTATAAATTTATTAACAAAGTAATCGGAGATAATTTCCGCGAATGGAGCAAATCGAGCAGCGTGCCGTCATTAAGTACCTCCATAAGAAGGGGCTATCATCAAAAGCCATCCATGATGACATGGTCAGTACATTAGGCGATTGTGCTCTGTCATATTCATCCGTCAAAAAATGGATAGCAGAATTTAAGCGTGGTAGAGAGAGTGTGAAAGATGAACCCCGCTCTGGAAGGCCTTCGACGTCAACTACTGACGAAAATATTAAAAAAGTACTTGATTTAATAATGGGAGACCGCAGATTAAAAATTAGAGAGATAGCCTAGATTATAGGCATCTCTTATGAACGAACTCAAAACATCATTGTCAACGAGTTGGGTTTCCACAAGGTGTCTGCGAGGTGGGTTCCGCGACTGCTTTCAGTTGAACAAAAAAAGGACGCGATTGACTATTTCACGCGACTGTTTGGAATTATTTGAAGCCGATGCAGATGATTTTTTGAATCGTTTTGTTACTATGGACGAAACATGGGTTCATTACTGTACACCGGAAACAAAACAACAATCAAAACAGTGGAGAAGACCTGGTTCACCACCCCCTAAAAAGGCTAAGTCGATTTTGTCGTCAAATAAGGTGATGGCTTCAGTATTCTGGGACTCGAAAGGTGTGATTATGATTGATTATCTTGAAAGGGGTCAGACTATAAACTCTGATTACTACTGCACCTTACTACGTCGTTTACGAGAGGAAATAAAAGAAAAACGTCGAGGAATGCTCAGAAGAAAAGTCCTGTTTCAACAAGATAACGCCCGTGTTCACACGTCAGTACAGTCAATGGCTGAAATTCACAACTGTGGCTTTGAACTGTTACCGCATCCGCCGTATTTACCTGATCTGGCACCATCAGACTTCTTTCTGTTCCCTAACCTAAAAAAGCACTTGGGAGGTCAAAGATTTTCGACAAACGACGAGGTCAAAGCAGCTGTAGATGCATATTTTGACTCTAAGGAAGAATCATTTTTTTTCAACGGTCTAAATGCTTGGAAGGGGAGGTGGCAAAAGTGTATTGAACTTGATGGTGATTATGTAGAAAAATAAAAATATAACTGATTTAGTATGTGTTTATTTTCTTGGTTAGGCCGAGTACTTTTCAATCCACCCTCGTATGTTTTATAATAGTAAAATGTAACTGTGTGATGGCGACTAACTAGAAATCAGAAATCACAAGTGGTACTTTTCTTTAAATGTATTTTATTTAAAGAAAAATTCAAGCTCAAAGCTTATGAACGATGTAGCTCATCGGTCTCCTTACCAACTGCATAAAGCAACTATTTTTTTGTTAACTGTTTTGAGATGTGCTTGCACTGATGTTAAAGGTTAAAAATTGAATGTAGAATCAGTTGTTAATTTTTTATTAAAGTTTGTAAATTTAATTATAAAAATTTAAAAAATCAATAAAAATTATTTATCTCTATTAAAATACAATTATTACTATAATACCTAGACATTTATAAAAAAGTATTTAATTTGTAACTACCTTTTCCTCCTTTTATACCACATATCATCCACATAATAGTCTCCAAGTAAGTAAAAATACTTACCCTTTTTAAATTTTTGTTCAATTTAAACACGAGTTGCTAATAATAATATTTATATATTATTAGGCTATTTAGCAGGCAAAGAACTCAGAGATCACAAGTGTTACTTTTCTTTATATTTTGTGAATTTAATTGTAAAAATAAAACAAATATTCAATAAAAATGATTTTACTCTTTAATTACTATATTACTAAGACATTAATCTAACTTTAATACATTTATTACATACATATTTTATTAGTTTAAAAGATTTTCTAATACAAACTATATAACTACTAATATTATAAATCATGAATACATACAAAGCTTGAATTTATTAACAACTACTTACAGACATGACTCTTTTATGTATCAGAATACTTAATTATTTTTTACACTTACATACTATTACACAAATAACTATTTCTTAAAATTTTCTATTTCTAATAGAAGTTTTTCATTTTGTAGTTTAAGTTTTTTATTTTCTAATTTTATATTTTCTAATTTTGACTCCAGACACAGTTTTTTAAATGTCTAATATTCTGCAATGGCACGGTCTCTAGCAGATTTGGACCTATCACCCTGCAATTTCCTTTTACCTGTAAAATACATATTAATTTAATTTATTAAATTACAAGTTAGCCTTTTTTTAAATAAAAAAGGAGTATATCTTTTGCATATTACTATTTTACCTCAATTTAGACTGCTTTTAAACTAAAGCGGACTACAAGTTAGTGACAATACCACCACCTCAGCGAATGGAACACCATGTGAAATTGTTATCTTATAAATTAAAATTCTATCAACATCAAAATAACCATTACCTGTTTTAGGAACATTGATTGTTACTCTCCGTAGTGTATCCGAAACTTTAATTTGTTCAGCAAAACAGCACAGGTGTTAACCTGAGCCATTGCTGAATGTGGAGAAGTAGGGGTCACAACCATTTCCTTTTGCGGATCTGGCACTGGTTTGTCCTAAAACTCTAGGATTTCTAGATTGACCCTAGCATCACCACCTAATTCCTCTTCACCATTTCCATTTGGCACAATACCACCACCATCACTAATCACTACAAAGTGCTCGGGTTCCTTATCTCCCCCATAAGGAACAACTAATCATCATCACCAACACCACCGCCAGTCTGCAAATCAAAAAGATGAAATTAATAAAGAATGTAAATAAAATGGATAATCATTTATTTATACTTAGATTAAAAATAAATAAACAACGAAACTAACGTTTATGCTGTTCATTCTTATTTTAGTGCAACGTTTACGTGCATTCTTCTTTAAATTCTCCCATTTCAGCCGAAGCTTGGTGGTTGGTGGTGGTGGTTGTGGTGTCCGACGACAACTTGTTGCTGTAGCATTAAACTGTTCGGCTATTCATACCCACTCTTTGTCTTTCATTTTATTGCTGCTGGCGTTTGTGGCTTTAGATATTATAATTTTGCTCATTTCAATAAGTTCGAGCAAGGCTTTGTTTTCATCTTTGGAAAGTGGCTTGCTCTTTATCTGAAATAAAAAGCGATTTATGTAGTTGTACATCAAGCATCAAATGATACAATATCTAATGTATTACAATTTAACTTACTATTTGTGGCTCCCTTATTTTATTATTCAAAAAGTATTTGCTGTAAATATTTCTGTTTCAAAGTTTAGTTTGATTCGAAAAAAGGTTTATATCTTTGCTGCTTGGCAAGAATTACGAATACAAATGATCGAACCTAAGCATTGAAACTTGATAATTGTTTTGACCGACGCGATGAGCGATGACCGATGACGCTGCGGCCGCGACTGACCGGCGGCGTTCCGTTACGTGATTGTTTTCAAACTATAGTTACATTGATTTAAATAAAAATATAATCATTTTATAATTTTAGGGAGAAAAAGGGAGTTAATGTAATAACTTGTAATTAAAGTCAATAGTTATAGATCTAAAATTACATTTTATGTTATTATATTAATACAATTATTTGAAAGAAGCAAATAGTCGCTATGCATAAAACGAAACAGTCGAGAGGAAACGGATCGATCCAAGCATCTGTTTGGATGCTTGGATCGATCCGATCCAAGCATCCAAACAGACTGCGATCGCCGCAAAAAAAAAAGATTGGGCTTGTTAAGTTATGTTATTGGGATGTGGATTTGGATCGATCTTTGTATAGGGTACAATCTCGGATTGCCATTAATCTTAAAAAAGAGATACGTTATTAAGTTCGGGCGTAAATGGGCCATAAATCGTAAACGGTAAGTTTTGCAAAAGAGTTTACTGGAAACAAAAGATGCGAAATTTTATTTTCTACAATAATGGTTACGGAAACTATGCACTTTGTGGCAAAAGTTATAGAACTTTTGCCTTAAAGTGCATAGTTTTCGAGATATCGGCTGAAAACCACCTGGATCTGTCAGCATTTTGTGATTTTATGCTGGGTAAGTGATCCTAAACCTTATAAAAAAATAAAATTGGATAGGAAATTTAGTGCAAAGTTAAATTCTATTTTTACTGTACTATTTCATTAAACATTTTATTTGTCAACGTCTTACAATCGTCGTTTCTCTAGCGCCCACGTGACCTTCATAATATATAAATAATTCGATATTTTAATTGTTGATAATTTTTATTTTTGGATAAGAATAGGGTAATAATTCTGAGTTATATTTTCCTTCATTAAAAAAAATTGTCTTTGGTCCAACCTATTATACTCTTTGGCTTGACCATAGGTAAATCTCTCCAACGTAATATTAGATGAGATTTGACTCAACCCCCCTTCCCCCCCCCCCTTAACCCTACGATGGTAACATAATTTAAATGAACACGCATGGTAACAGGGGTGTCACGTCACCCCA